TCAGCCCCTTGCTTAAGATGGATGGATCAACTGAAGTGTCATCTCTGAGATTCTTGGTCAGGTATTTGCTCTATTTATTTTCCTGTTTCAATTTTTCATAGCTTCCACTAAAGAAATGCAGCCGACTGCAGTAACAAGGTGCCTAAAGATAAACTGAATATCAGTTATTTGCTGGTTATAAACACTGGTTCTTCCCTTGAATTAGATTCATTTTTCATCCTTGTATGATTCATAGGTCAGTATTAAGTGGTTCAGCAAACAAAAACAAACAAAAGTTCCTCGGAAAATGTCAGGTACCAGGACTGGACTGTTAATGAGTGCGAAAAGGAGATTTATATGTCTATATGTCTGAAATGTTTTATACTGTGATGGTCAACATGGGGGCATGTTGCTAAATTGGTATTTAGCTCAAATCCTTACAGTGGATAAATTCACCCATGAAGCTGCCAGCATGGCTGACAATGCCAGGAGGAGCACGACAGCTGATCTGACCATTAATCATGATCTCTGTCTCTTTTTTGTTTCATTTTCCAAGGAATGACCGTAAGACCAGGACCAGAGATGCCTGCGTCTTTGCCAGACAGAAACAGAATCCAACAAATCCACATTCCTATCATCATCGACCCTGTGCAGACCAACCCCAGAACACCATACAGCCCAGGCCAACCAGTGCAGCCAAACACACACAGAAAAAACATCAGCCCGCCAAGACAGCCTTTCAGTCCTCGGCAACCAGGTGTGCCGACTGTGCCTGAGATTTCTGTTGTGGAGATGGGAGAGGCAGGACCTCCAGGATACAGCCGCAGGGTGACTGTGCGAAGAGGGTCTGAGGACTCTTCCAGAGACCGTGTTAAAGGGTTTGCAGGAGCACCAGGCGAGTAGTCTTAAGGTCCATGATGACCTCTGGTATCGTCTTAAGCATACAGCTGAAAATCCACTATGAAGGTGCAGGCCTTATTTTATGATGTGTATGAAAATCTGCAATCTAATTAAGTCTAACTCAAGGCCTCTCGAATTTACAGCACAAAACTAATTCAGTTGTATATGAAATACAAATCCAACTCTAAAATTCTAAGGGCAAAAAATCATGCTGTTTTTGTTGCTTCTGCTACATGCAAGGTAACAGACCCAACAAAGGTGCATCACTCCCACATCACTATTTGAAACATGAAGGATTACTGCAGTCAAGGGACCTTTTTTAATCAAAAACACAATATTTTCCTAACCCTGGCCAAGTGTGTTGTAATGCTGGGCCAGGGTTAGGAAGTCAAAAAAATGCAGCAACAGCAAGTAGAAAAAAGCAAAGCCAAGTGAAAAACACAAAGTAAACTCAAGTCTAAGTTGGAAACTTAGATGGATCTGTCCTGCTTTGTATCAATAGTTGAGGCTGCTGGTGGTGTATTGACACACTTTGGACCCCTTACGACTTAATGAATATTATTTAAACACCACAACCTATCTGAATATTGTTGGCTCAAATCATCTCAAACGGGTTTCCTGAACCTGACAGTGACGTCACTGTACTCAGATCTCAATCCAATAAACCACCTTTGGGATGTAGTGGAATGGTAGCCAGCATATCTGCAGCAACTGTGTGATGCTGTCATGTATATATGAATCAAAATCTCTCAGGAATGTTTCCAGCACCTTGCTGAATCTGTGCCATGAAGAATTAATAATGCGTGGACAGTTGTTTGTCATCTATGTGAAAGTTTTCATTGGGTGCCAAACCAAATCAGAAGGAAGAGGACGCCGAACATAGATTTAGGCAGTTTGGGGTTTAATTATTTAAGCTGTATGTAGAAAGATTAAATAAAATATCAAACAAAACAAAGGCTTTGTTCTAGCCTCAATGCTTTTTGGCAGTAAAGGAATAGAGAACAGCCTACGTTAGTCATATTGTTACTGTTTACTGGTAGTGTGGGAGAATTAGCCAGGGAAATGCCAATTAGTCTTACCCCCCTTACTTGTAAAACAAAAAAACTTAAAATTCACCCACATCTTTGGGCTTTTGGATGGGATGTGAGATTTGTTTCAGCTTTTCAGTTCTTTATTGTTGCATATTTTTTCTTTACTGCCATCTGAATGCTTGTCATAGGTTGGTTTTTAATTCAGTCTGTTTTTGGTTAATAATAAATACATTTAAATGTCAGTCTTTGTGGAAACTACGGATGCTTAAATCTGATTTTAGATGGCATTATCTTGAAACAGCTGGGGAAAACAATCTGCTTCCAAAAATCCACAATTACAAAGTCTAGAGTTCTTGAAGTTTCTTGGAATCTCTCACACAGTGTGCCATAAGATCCAGATGGAAAACCAAAGAACTGTATTTGGCAATACTACAGATCGACCCCGTCTCTTCAGATGACAATAAAACATAATATTTTTGTCATCTGTTTCTCTTGCAGGCTATCCTCCTCTGAAGCCTGTTTCTTTCATGCCTCAATCAGCCAGACGCCAAGGTATTTTACCAGTTCATTATCAAGTTACATCACATGCATCTGCAGGCTTCTTCTACTGTATCAATGTAAAAGAAGAAGCATTGGAAAAACTGTGAATAATTTCTAGTCGGGGAGTGCGAGGGAGTGGGAACTGGATGTGTTTCTTTAAGGGTGTGTGGGCAGATTGTGCAAGGATTTTAGTGCGTCTGCAAGCATTCACCAGAAAGTTTTGTATTTTCTTTATATATATGTACACACACACCAATGACAGATTTATAAGTATAAAGATATAATAATAATAATAATACATGATGTATTACGTATTATGTAATAATACATAATGAGTTAACATGTACTGTGTGTGCCTTGTAGCTCTTACAGCAGTAAAGGTGCCCTGGAACCCGGTTTATCGAGCTCCAGCTGATTCACCAGGTAAACCTGTCCATGTTTCAGCAAGGATTAAAGGCATTACAAAAAGAATTGAATTTATGATAGATACATATTACATACATATTGATTCTGATCAATTTAAATGCAGCAATCATGTATTCATTTATCCATCAGTTGAAACACTGATTGACGACATTCCTGTCTGTTTGCATCCAGTTTCAGTCGACAATAGCGCTTTGGCAGACACCTTCTCCTTCTCTGCCGGCCTCACTCAGCAACGTTTCTCTGGAGATTTTGGAATCATTCGCTTTAACAGAGTCCTAGTAAATGACGGAGGACATTACAATCCCAGCACAGGTAGATCCACACATAAAAAAACAGATTCAGTATTAAAAGGATTGTAACATTTGCTGGTATCATTGTGATACGTTGATAATACGCAGATATGTCGTCTTTTTGCATAAAAATGCGCTGTTATTATGAGCCTGGGCACTTAGTTGTGCTTTGTACAAACAAACAAATAAATAAAACATTAGTTAGGGATTATTTTCAGTTGTGGATTAATACGAAATGTGTTCTCTCATGAGTACTTGAAGCAGGACTGTGAATATAAAGATGATTCAAAATAAACTGCAGGACCCGTGTTTGTTATAACTGAGGAATGATTCACCCAGCACAGCAGAGTGGCTAATTGATGTGTTTTTAATTCTTAATTGGGTAACAATGAAGTCCTGTGACACAGAGGAATTGGATAATTCAGGCTTTGGCTACAGAGCCAAAACTCATTAGGATCAATTCATTGCAGGTCCATGAATAGGGAAGAGACTTAGAAACCAAGAGTACTAATCAGTAACATTATTGATTGAACCCAGGCTGAATCATTCCTGTCCTCACCCTCAGGGATCTTTACTGTACCGCTGGATGGCCGATACCTGATTTCAGGTGTGCTGACCGCAAAGCAGGGCGATCGTGTAGAGGCCGTGCTGTCTGTGTCTAACCGCAGCGTACAGAGGCTACAGAGCTCAGGCCTGACTGGTGGTAATTGTGGCTGCGGGGGTACAGCATCCTTTAATGTAATCCTACCGCTGAGGAAAGGAGACCAAGTGGCTATGGTAAGAACCGAAGGTCAGCTGGCCACAACCGAAGCCAGGGAGATCCTGTCCACCTACAGCGGCACCTTTCTGTACCAGCCACAAGCCAAAAGATAGCTGGAGCTCAGGTGGAAAGTAACGACGAGGACTACTTTGTTCCCAGACATGTGGACTGGAGGAAATGTTGAAGTGTTGAAACCACATTTTTAAAACAAAAAAATTATTTGCTGTGATGCAGCTGTTTTACCTGTGTGAAGATCTTTAGTTATAAATTCAGTTAAAAAAGCTGTTATATGGAATTTGTAAGCAATTTTCCAAAGACACCTGATAACAAGAAGCAGGATTTGTATCTAATATATTTATCAAGATGAATGTTTGTACCACCTATTGTAAATGTCTTGTGTAAAAGTATAAATTAACACTTTTGTAAATTTTGTTTTAGCAGCAGCATTCAGAGACTTGGCATACAGCATGGTCAACAATCATTGGAGCATATTTGTAGGTTAGCTGTAAATATGGACTCACATCATCTTAAAAGTGCTCTGGGTGATTAGGAAATCTGCACAGAGAGATTAATGAGGAAAGGAAAGACTTAGCAACACAAGATTTTATTAATAGTACAAACTTGGCTGGCTTCTACTGAAGAATACATGGTTAGTGAGCCCCCTCCTTTTTTCTTTTTGGTGATTATGTAAAGTGGGTGGGGATGATAAATAAATTCCCCCTTTCTCACTCCTGAGACTGACTAAAATTTTCCAGCATCAAACTGTAAGAAGTATTTAGCTTTCAGTTCAGCCTTTGTTAACCCTTAAAAAGGAAAAACTGATATTTTAATTAAAAGCTGAATAAATAAACACTCTGGATTACCATTTTGTATGATTCTTCTTATCTTTATATTATTTAATAAAACCAAGCAAAACCTCTAAAATGACATGAGGGACTTAACCTGCAGTACCCTCATTAGCGTACTGTTACTTCAAAGTACGCAATAGGGCAGGAGTTACTCCACTTGCCTCTGGTTACTGTTGAACTTTTGGACTCAGACTGCAGAAAAGAAAAATCACAGCACGCACATAACTGCATTCATTTAGAAATTTTATTTCATACAAACAAGACCATAAGCCACATGTTAGCTTCATTAGGCCTGATTTTTTATTTTTTTTTTTACTTCTTCTTACAGTTGATTTTGTTCTTCAAACCACATTTCTATTCAAATGAAACACAGCATACATTTAATGCATTTTCTGCTGGTCGGACACAAATACCAAGCATTACATCCAAACAAAAACGGAACAAAACTTAAGTCACACAACAGCTCATACACGTTATAAGAAAAAAACAAAAAGGCATCAAAGAAGAATGTGATGGTCAGCATATATACTCATTCAAACGTTTATTTACCACATATCCCAGGATCAGAGAAGATGAAGTGTGATTCTTTCACACAAGATGCTTTACTTTCATAGAAAGAATGGAATTTCTTGTTGATTTTAAGATAGATCTATTTGACTTCACCACTTTGCAGAGAACAAGCAAACAAATCAAAGCGGGGCACACTGTATTCATCAAAACAAAAAAAAAGAAAAGAAATCAGCAGTGCATGTAGCTGTCACCATAAATTGTGCTTATTTTTATGAAATGATCTTGGCTGCTCCTGCTTTTTTAGTCCACACTGGCATACACAGTCAGTTACACTTGCATTGGAGATATGATCCATCTGACCAAAACTCCTTTCCTAAAATCATACATAGATAATGCCGGGGAAGTGCCTTAAACACTTCCTGTACAGTCAAGTATTTCCTGTTTATCTCCAAAAAACAGTTTATCCTCCTCTGGTCACCAGAGGCACGGGAATCAGGCTTTTCTGTCTCTCACGCTCTCAAGCACACACATTAAGGGGTAGCTCTGATATTACCTTGCTGCCTGTTACCCCAAATTATCATCATTTTCCTCTGCCTTAAAAACATACACACAAAAAAAGCTACTTGAAACAAACTAAGCTTCTCAAAACTCACTAATAGACAAATTTCAGATTAACTGAATAGTCAAGAAGGTAAAACTCAAACTCTTTATGCTCAAACGCTGCAGTAATTGCATACTCTGGTCTACTGTCTACTTAGACTGTCGGTGAAGTGCATGTGGGTGGGAGATGTGCTGAGTTGTAAGTCTTGAGTTTCTGGGTGCAACTTTGACAAAGTGTGCTGGATAAAGCCACCGAGGGAACCTAAGCAAAGGGTGCAGGATGCTGCCACCCCAACAGCAGCAGCACTCTGTGATTAGGTACACACACACACTACCATCATCCTGAAGTCCATCCTACGGAGGACCTCACAAAGCAATATCCTTCATTTTAAGCTCTTCTCAAATTTGCTTATATCCACTGTTCCATCTCAAGCATCCTCTCTCACATTTACACACATCTGGTAATACTACAGACTCTGAGGTTTTACTCAGGAATGTCTACGTGCCTTACATGTTGAAAAATTCACTGTTAATAAAAGAAATACAGGCTTGTTGCTGGAGACGTGACCAAAGAAAGCTTGTACAAGGCCTAGCAGTTACTGTTAAGTGCATGTTAGTCTGTGATCAGCCTCACAAAAATACTAATCTGAAATATTGCATTGGTGATCAATTATCTTTTCAGACAAGCAAAGGCCTCACAATAGAAATCAATAACTTAAATACATTGATCATCATAAATAATGACTCCATTGTTAACTAAACACACGTGATTTGCCAGAGCTTGCATAACAGAACAAACATATTAAAACAACAGCAAGACAATACACCATGAAGCTGCTTCATTTTTTTAAGTCACAGCAAACTGTGCATCCTCACATACTTGGTGAAAGCATATCCGAGGTACGACCTTGGATATTAACAGTACCAAACATGGCTCGCTGTGTAGCGGCCATATGAAATCTGTTGCACAGTCAGGCAAGAGTCAGGAACGAGAGGACAACTGAACACTTACTGTGGCGAGTTCCTGAAATCTAACGGCTGTGGACGGTTCTGTGTTTGTGTTATTCTGTTATTTGCCAACCTCTATCACGACTGTATTTTTAGAACAGAATAAAGCCTCCAATTAAAGGCTGGTTACTTGCTTCTGGGCAAACACAGCACCTACAGTAAAATATGACTGCCGCATAACAACTGCCCAGTGTTAATTGCCTGTCCTGTTTTAATTAAATGTGTGCCTTTTCCATTTAAAACATTACGTTTCACTTCTTCGGGGCGTTTCTTAAATTACTTCTGCTCAGCTCGGAATCTAGCTCCTCGTGAGGGACTTCTGCCTGCGTCGTTTATGGCTTTCTACAAGTTTACAAGTTTACCGAGATACTAGCTGGATCTTCAACTGCCAAGTCTGTACAAGAACATGGACTAGAAAGTTATCACTGGGCAGGATGCCTTCACACAGAGGCATACGTGGAGTGTCTCTGTGAAATAAACGCTAAGTTATCACTCATCAGGATTTACTGTTCTGATAATCTCCACTCATCTCTCAAGTAAATACAGTTTACCAACTTTTCTGAGTTCATGGTTACTGTGTCTGTGTGTTGTGTAAGTCTAATTAGCAGGAACAGTTCTGGTTCCACTTCACATGTATTTAGGAGGTGCATTCAGGTGCACAGTTCATTTGAATGTTAATGTATAGCTGGGTATCAATACACACCGACTCAGAGCAGTTCATCTGGATTGATTTCTGGTATTGGCTGTCTCCAGTAACAGAAAGAGCTGTACTCTGGCATTACAAAGGCCTCGTTCTGCTCTTTGCTCAGCAAAGGGAACACGTGCTCCACCAGCTCACTCAGTCTGCCATAGCTGCGAAGGGGGAAAAAACGAAACCAGAGAAACAGAGTGAGCAAGAGAACGGATACAATATATAAATCTTAAAAAATATATACACTCTAGGTATTTAGTGATGAACAAAAAATAAAGAAAAACAAATATTTAAAAAATGGATTTTAGATTTGAAATACGTTGAAATGTATTGATCAATCTAAATACAGAAAGAACAAAAAACACAGGCCACCTGAGGAAAACATTGCAGACTAGAATCAATTTTAAGGTGTGTTTCTGGCCAGCTCTCTTTTTATTTCTGTTTTGTTCTCCATCAGATCCTGTGGGAAATATCTGTCGCTTGAGCTGCTAAAAGCACCACTATGTTCCCTAGTTTTTCTCTAATTTTGTCTGTTTTGCTTGCTGCAGGGTACAAAAGACTCTGTGACTGTAGGCTTTTATTCTTTTTACAGTAATGTGAGAGTGAAGGAAACAGTAATGGCTGGAAAAGCAAAACAAGAAAATAAAGAAAACAGAAAAACGTTCAATGATAGCAACGTCCTATACTTCCTGCTGGGGATTTTTGCTACGAAAGACAAACACAGACCATTAATGTACTTACGAGGACTTGTTGCCCTTGGTCTGCTCCTGGATCAGCTCTCCCTTTGGGTTAACTGTGAAAATTCTGCACACTGGAACGCCGACTTCCTTATAGGCAAACACATCCTGTATGAAGACATAAAGATTAAAGGCTCAATCTTCCCTCTAAAATACGACTGCTTCAAAGTTTAAGTTACGTTTTTTAAATGTTTCCGTTTATAAGCACAGCACAAGCTTTTATTTTGAGTTGGGATTAATTACAAACACATAAACCCCATTTTGCTTCCTCTAAGACAAAGCATGCGAATGAACCTGTCATTTACAGGCTGAAAAATTACTGACAGAGCTGTTAACAGCCATCTGAGAACACTCTTGATTATGTAATGTTCGGAAAGTAGCCTCTCATACATAATAAACTGAAATGACCACGTTAATAACATTAACCACAGATTTCCTGTTTGTGTTCCACCTAATGCATGTAATGGCAGTAAATTTCTGGAGTAAATGTTTTTGGTTGGCCAGAGGAAGAGTGAGTGTGTGGCTGTGTCTTATTTTTTTGTTTAGGGGAGAGACCGAGGCAGACTGGGCTTTGATAGCTGACCCTTCATGTGACTGTTAGTGTTTATGCAGCTGAAGACGGGATGCTGTGCCCGACTTGAGCTCTCGTCCACAGATGAAGTCACTCGCGATCACACTCTGACAATGACCTCAGCTCAGGTTCAGCCCAGTACTTATTTCACACATTCATGTCTGCTAACTCAAAGTGTCTGCCAAAGTGTCATGTTGCTCTTGCAATGAATTACAACTGCATCAACCTCTGAAAAGCGCACTTTTAAAAAAAACAAAACAAACCAAAAAAACCCCCAAAAAAAACAAGCACTCTAATGTCTGGAAGTCTGACATCTTCAAACATGCATTAACTCACATTAGCTCTATTCCCAAAGGCGGCATAAAATGGCTGCTTGTTATTCTGGAACAGGTTCTTGATGTCTGTAAGGCATTCAATCTTGAAGATCTCTGGTTTCTTCTCGATGACCTCTCTGAAGCAAACAGACAGTTTTATTAGAGGGCATACACATCCTTCCCGTGTGTCCAGTTTGAGTTAGAGGTAATTTGATCAAACATATTTCGTTTATCTCAAACCCGTTTCTCCGACTGTTTTTAGATAAGAATTTGTTTATAAATGACTTTTGTCCTCTTTACAAATCGTGTAATAGCACGGCCTAAATCCAAATGCATTTCAGCAATTTCTGTTTAAAATTATGACTCAAAACAAATACACAGATGGTAGGGGTGTTTCTAATTTAAGCAAATTAAAACAAGAGGGACACATAAATAATGCAAATATCTACAAGTGTTTGCACCACACAACTATCAGCAATGCTGCAGGTTGCTATGCTGAGACACCAGCCATTCTGAACAGGTTTCAAGGTCACACAAAAACCCTGCTATGTGATTAACACACTGAATAAAAGAAATCAACATTTTCAAGGGAACCATTAACAACACAGGAAAGTTTTACTTGTTCTGTGAAAGTGAGAAAAGGATACTTGCTTTAGCTGTATTAACATTTGGATAATATCTGACATACAAGGCATAACAAGCAAGTATCACAAGAGTATTTAATTGTTTAATTAACATTATATTAACACAGTCATAATTCACTGAAACCAGTGTTGCTGGGAAACATGTTTGATGGGAGAAATACCGAAAGGGGTCATTTTAAAATCATGTAACTGTTAAAATAAAATCACATCAGTTAGTTTGGAACTTTTTCTAAAGTCATTTTATTCATCATACAGTGAATTTTGGGGTGTGTGGGATTAAATTATTGATTGATTTCCCCCCCCAAATGTAAAACAACAATTGCAGCATGCCTGGTTGCTTAGCAGCACATCTTACATACTCAAACTTTAACATGAAGGTTACTGTATCATGAGTTAGCTAGAGGAGGCTGACAGATGAACATGTGTGGGAGACAGTAGGTGGATCTAATAGGTCATTCTGATGATGTTCTTCTACAATAATTAAAATATTAAGATGTGTCAGCAATTGTATTTTTGTTGTAGTCTTGTTTATTAGTAGACTCTGAAATATATTTTACCTTTACAACCAGGAAGGAAATAATTTCAATAATTTGTGAAACTCCTCTAAAACTGAACCTTAAATATTTATTTTGTCAAATATATTTAAATTTAGAAAAATGAGTCAAAAATAGACGTTCTGCTGCAAGATGTCTCAAATGATCCCACATTATCAAAAAAATATAGAAAGCTAGCAGCCTCCTTCTGGATCTCCTCACCACTTCAACAAAAGAATCATTCACACAAATCATGTCTCTAAAAATGCAAATGAGACTGTGACAGCAACGGGGAAATAAAGAGAATAGAATAATCCAAAACAGAGAAAATGCTGGCCATGAGCGTACTTTAGAGAAGTGACGGCACTAATACCAACACAGTTAATGCCTTTTAGATAGGAATTCATGAACTTGAGTTTGCTGTAGACTTAATAACCATGGCATATGAAAGACTTATTATAAAGAACGAGGCTCGGGAGAGTGGGGACGATTTTGAGACTGAGAATAGGGTTTTTAAAGTGAAACTAACTTTGTAGAGAAAAAAAAAGATTTAAGGGTGAAAAATATGGGGTGGTTTGAAAACAACATTAATATCTGGGGATAAGGAGGATTTAAATTAAATCATTTAATGTATATAATGAGCTTCATGATACCGAGACTGGTAACCATTTAGAGCTTATATTACCTGTGGAAAGCAGAGAAGAGGCTGCTGGGAGAGAGCATGAGAGGTCCTCGGGGTAGGATGGTGCCTCCATCATTGACCCACTGTAAGTAACCTCTTGTCATGTCCGCCATGCCGATTGCCCGGGCTGAGCAGTACAAGAACTTGTAGCCATTTCTGCGAATGGGAAGAGCAGTGCTCATTAATAATTGTTCATTATCATGACCTTAATGGCAACTACTAAGATTAGCACTTAAATTGGATGAGTTATTTTGATTGCGCTCATAATGTGGAGAAGTCACAACAATTCAATTAAAAAAAAAAAAGAAAATCTTGCAGAGGAAACTTTTTATTTACTACCAAAACCAATACCCAGACTCACTACAGCTGACTTCATTCATGCAATACATTTTCTATTTTTTCAGATTTAAGTATAAAAATAAAACCAGAAAACGAAAGGGCTGGTTTAATGGTGTTTTTACTTTCTGCAATAATTCTGCCTAAACTACAGTTAAACTTACTGAGTCATCCACCTCAGAGCTCCCCACGCAAACACTGGGAGGAAATATCAACTCCACAAAGAGCCGATTGGGAATCAACCCCAGATAGTCCTAACCACTGACCAACCATTCATGCGTCTTCCATAATTAATCAGTGTTGCTGTGCACTTACTCAGCTACAGAGTGGTAGAGCTTGGCAATCCCCTGGTGGGTCCAGTCCTTCCCCAACTGTGGAAGTATCTGTCCAAATACATCTGACCTAAAACATTTAAACACATACAAAAATATCAATATCACTGACTATAAGATAGAAATAAATCAAACAGCCACATCAAGTAGAGAAAGAGAAAGCAGAGTACTGACTGTTCAAAAGAGGTCACATAAAGCACGATAACACCGTTTTATCATAAATATAGAACATTATGGGCTGTTCTCCACTAACGAGCATTACTGGCCTATAGGGGAGAAACAGTCTCACCCTCAGCTGGCTGTGTGTCCTTACAGACTGAAATGTAAATGTCCTCATTATAGTCCCTGTGCTCTTTACCCTGTTAGCCAAAGAAAGCAGCATGTCAGGGGTTGGCCTAAAGGGTCACAGAGATAATAAGCTGCAGTCAATTTGGAGCCGTTTGATGTCGACCACCAATGAACTTCAGGGTGGGCGTCAGGAAGGCAGCAGGCATCAGTTTTGTTTCAGAAGAGATATGACTAGCTTTAAAGTAATTAACAGAGCGTGAAACAAATAGAACTGGATTACAGGCTTCATATATGCCATTTGTGAATGACTTAAATGTGTCCATGGTAGTGAAGCTACTCTGAGCTGGAATCTTATTTTAAGCTTTTGTTCCTTTTTAAATTAACCGAACAATATTATGCAACAATTTAATCTTGTGTTCATTTACCTGCTCCCCACCTTATTTGGTGGATAATAAATAAGGAGCTGTATTTAAAGTATGCAGGCAGTTTATAGAAACACTTGAACACTGCACTATAGATTCCATCTTGGTAGCATAATAATTAGTTTTAGTGCAAAAATGGAGGTTTCCATGGCGAGTTTGCAACAGATGGCTTTAAGTGTTTTAACTATAAAATTAGATCCACATTTTATTACAAGAACTGAAACAGGATGCAACAAAAGATCTATCTAAATGTCGCTTCACTGATTGCTTCCCACCTATATGTTAAAATCAATATTTGTACACATTATTTTTAATTGTCGTTAAAGGATGCAACTAAGGTAGAGCACCCAAGGGAAATTCCTTCTAATAAGGTTTTCTTATTACTGTATATGTACAGGAAAATGTAATTGGATGCTACAATAACTGACTGATTTACTGCCCTGTCTATTACTGTCCATAATTAACATAGCAGCTAGCTTGCTATTACAACTGTGTTCTGTAATATGATTTTCTGAGTGACTGGAAGGCCATACTTTGTGATGGTGCCATCAATGTCAGAGATAATGACTTTGTCGTCCCAGTTCCACAGGTAGATTGTACCCTCACAGCGGCATGTGCCTTGGTATTGAGTGGTGATGCTAAATGTCACATCATTTGGCCCCTGCTTGAGTTTCAGACTAGCCTGGAAAAACAAACAAAAAAATGAGATATATATATATTTTTTTTTTTCAACAGCACACGCATTACTCTCTGGCATCATTTTCTTGCCACAGTACAATGACCATCTACAGATCTTTAGAGCCCCCTACAGACTACAAATGGAGCAAACACTAGTTGCAGTTCATAGTTAGCCAGCAGAGGGAGCACAAAACAGCCAAATAAAAACACTTGAGACACAAATCTCATTAAGAACTCAGCAAAAAAATAAGCTGATCTTCTGACAATCAGACACTTTTATATTTGAAATTAAATAATATTTTATGACATTTATAACAAATCCAGAGAAAGCTTTGTCAATGTGAGAAAGGAAAAGGTGTAAAATGAACTTACAATCTGATCAGAGGAAAGCCGTAGTGACTTTCTGTATGTGTGTGGGCTGGGATGGTGCTGACCATCCACTGGCTGCAGTCTCTCTTGACAGGATGCTGCGCTCACCTCCTTGGACTCTTCATCACTGGATGAGTCTCTTGCTTTAGGCCTACAGTGCAGTAACCATAGATATGGTAGTCAATTATCACAGACAAGTGGAAAAACATGTTTCAGAAAGATTCGACCTGAAGATCCTTAGATGTATAAATAAATTCAATGTTATCTTAGTTACATTATTAATATTCTTCCTCATTAAACCAAAATATAAGCTCCTCCCTATGTATAATAATAATATAGTTTTTGATTTTCTGGTATCACATACGTTAAGGCCAGCTTCTCCTGAGATGTGGAGGGTCCTTCCTCTCCCGAATGTGGTTCCTCCTTAGTTTCGAGCTTAGTCTCCGACTGGACGAAGTAGGCAGAAAAATAAAATTCCCAATTAGCCAAGTTTAAAAAATATCTATATGAAAACAGGACACTGCCCATGAAGAGGGAACAGAAACTAACTGCAGATACCACCTCAAATTTTGTTTTGTTCACTTGTACTAACAACATGCACACCTGCTTGATTGTGCTATCCGCCCTCTTACGCCAGAACCACCAGCGGCCTGACTTCTTTGGCATTTTCTCCTTCACCCAGGCCTCCTCTGTAGCCTGCCATAAAAAGGAAAACAAATACATTTAATGATGAGATAGCTGCCAGCTGACAATGAGTGAATGAACAATACAAAGAGTAAAGAATTAAACACACGTTACCTTTGGTAAATTCTTCTGAAATGCTTGAAGGCTTAGAATCAAAGGTGCAGCTAGGGTCCAGTTATAATATCTGAAGACAAAGACAATTACCAATGTGTAATCCTGACCATACGTTTGAAATGTTTCTCTAGTGCATTTCCAATGTGAAGTAAAAACAGTTACATACCTATTTCCTATCCTTACTACCAGGTTGGGGTTGTCTATAATTGCTGGATTTTCAGCAAATTCATGATAGGTAATGATATGCTCCATAAACCTTTCTGGAAATGAACAGGGGAGAAGAAGACTAATTAAAGACAGCTGATGAAAAGGTCAGTGGTGGTGAGAAATAACATCTTAGTAGACATAAAGGTCAGGAAACTTTTTCTTCTGATAACCCCAGAGAGCTTCTAAAGCCTAAATCCCAAAGGATTAATATAACCTAGAGACCTCTAACAGTTTGTAATGACTGCGGAGGTAGTCTGTGATCATCGTTTGTAATGCAATAAATGCAGGGCAAATTAACAACAACATTTAACCAAATATGGACATCCTGTTATGATATTAGTCCAGAGGAAATGAGCATGTTCTTGCTTTTTTGTTCTTCTTTCCCCTTAAAGAATTATGTTGTTATCTTTAAAATGAATGAGAGAAATGGCAGGACTCTCATATTTAAAAAAAAAAAAAAAAAAATGTGCATAAAAATAGCATAAGATAGAAGCATGTTGACTCGGATGACCAACGTTTTTTCTGCTGTTTAACAAGGTTATGACATCATATTCAGAGATGAAGACACATTTCCTGAAGAGTTAAAGTACATGTTAATTTGATGAGAGGGAAAGTACTTCTGGGTACGACATTTACACATCTGAACAAATATGTATCTGAGAACAGCTTCCTCTAACAGTAGCTGGACACTTTATGTGGCTAATCCAGAAGGTGCAACAAAGTTAGCTGAATGTTTACTGGCTTAAGACAAAAATGTTCACTTTATGATACATTTTGTTGTGAGTGTCATGCTCGTGTACCTTTGGATATTTCAGCATTTTCTGTCAGGCCTCCACACAGAGAAAGAGTAACATCAGGGAGGTCACTAGTTGAGTCAGAGAGACACTCTGTCCCGCTGTCAGCTGCAGCACTACCCACCGACTGTGGGGACTGTGAACCAGAGTGCATCTCAGAGTCAATCCAGTGCTTAGCAGCTGCCTCAGTCTCACTGGAGAAAAGAGAAGGAGAAGAAAAGGGTTACAACATGTCATGATACTGGTCTTTCAGGCTGTCAGTGACACTTCAGAGGAGAAATCGCTTTGGCTTTTATTTTATAATTACAAAGGTTAAGTAATTAGGCAGATCTTTAACCATCATACCTCTTAGGAAAATATCGTGCAGCAACATCAGGTTCAAGTACATTCAAGTCATCTAAGTAGATATCCTCAGGACCCTGATGCTGGCTCCTCTTCGGAACACCTACATACAATATATTTACAAATTACAAACTCATAACCAAGACAAGCCTTAAAAAAGCACCAATCTGCAGCCACCTAACATACCTTTCTTCTTTGATGGTGAATCTGTCTGCTGGTTACTGGAAGAGGTGGAGGTTGCTATGCTTGATTGCAGGATATCAAGGGGTTCTGTAGGGGCTTCCGGACTAACAGATGATATGGTGCTAACAGACGATATTGGAATCACAGGTGTTACAGTGGTGACGGGGGTGCGTGGCTCGGGCTTGACAATGTTACACACTGAAGAGGAGGTGGCATCGCCTTTTTCAACCTCGGTCTCATTCTCCATGGCCTCCGAGCTGAGGATGACACGGAAATGGGTGCTCTCTGATGGGGTGATGGTCACTTTTTTCAGTGGTTCTGATTTCTCCTTCTTGGTGACCTAAAAAAATTGGACGTAATGTTATTGTGATGATGAGTCAACTGGCAATGGTTTGAACTCCACTGGGAAGAAGTGCTCACCCTTGTGGTTTCTGGAAATTCTCCCCATGTCCACTGCATGTGAGACTCAGCTCTGAGCAAACTCTCTGAAGGCCTCATCACCAGTTCTGAGTCACTCTTTGGGGTAAAGGCCTGAGACAAGCTATGGCTGCAGGGGTGTAAAAAGAAATGCCAAGTATTAGTAAAACAGGTGCTACTTACACGTCTGTGCTATCTTTGCTAACGACTTTCGGTTCATGTCAGCACATACCCATCACCAGCTGGCCAGTCCCCATCAGACATTGGATAACCATCAAGGCTGTGTCTGGCTGCGGGTAATTTAGGGTCAATGTCACGCACTGTAGTCACTGAAGGTGATCTAAATTCAGAGTGCAGAAGAAGCATAATAATTAACTGATCTCTTCACACAAATCTGGCTAGAAGCGTTGAATAAACATACCTTGATACATGAACTGTAGTTTCCTCGTCAGAGCTGAGATCCATTTCAAAGATCTCCTCATTTTGCCCAGTACTAGACATAGCAGCAGTGGTAGCAGTGGGTGCATTAGCAGCAACAGCATTACCAGTAGTGACTGACGGCGGGGTCAGTTCCTCTCTACGGGGGTCTCCTTTGTGCTTCTTTCTCCGTCTTTTCTTCTTTTTTGTGGCCACAGTGCTTGGAGCAGGAGGTTCAGGAGGGTCCTCTGGGTCGGCGGGGTCATCTTCCAGATCTTTTGGTGCCCTGTGCTCCACCTCTGAGATCCAGAACAGGTGACTCTCGGTGGGGATTGGGGAGGTGGCCAAATGGGCAGGAACAATCTGCTGAAATAGGAAAGCAGGACATGAGGATTAAGATATGTTTAAACAAGGATAATCGTAGTTTGAAACACAATATTGACTCAGGTCCTGCAGAATAAGGTAGAAGTCACTGCTGAGATGTCACAATAGCAGCCTGAGCAAAGGTTAACTATGCAATATGGTGGAGTAATCACTTCTTCCTACAAACACTGCCCTACATTTCTACTTCAAGAATGCTGTTAAGCAAAGGCAAGACTGTTGTTGTGTTGGGTCAACGAAAGCAAAGTGAAAGATGTTTTGAAAACATGTCTGAAGTTTCATTTCTTTTTTTCAACATGAAATATTTCATGACTTTGCTACATTAAAACTCAAAACAAGACTGCACAAAAAGGAGAATGAACAAATTATATATCTGGAAAAATGTCTCAATGAAACTTTGTGTCATTAGCCTTTAGCAGTTTTGTTACTTTATTTATTTATTTTAATTATGCTTATGGCTTACATTTTGTTGCTCAGCTTCCTGCACAAAAAAGGCCTCTCCATTGTCACCAAGCTTCATATGCAGGTCTACAGGCTCTCCATTCACTTCGATGTCGATCTGGAAAGAAGACACATAATTCCCTTTCGAACATGTGCTCCTCTCTTATTAGTCTGACATCTTCTGAACAATTTGTCACTTTTATCTGAATGAGCTTCCTGCTCACTTTCCTATAAAAGTCACGAGTAACAATTGTGCTTTACTTTTAACATGGCAAAAGCTTCAACAGCATGAAGGCACATTAACTGACAGACATGTACAGGACCATGGCTTACTGACTTAAGACACTCTCTCGTGCTTTTGACATTGTCATCTCACTATCTCAGTGTGGCTTTTGAATATGCCCACAGATTGATTAACTCGCTCTCTCTGTTACAGTCTTCATGAAGATTATGTGATAAACATTAACATAAAGTGACCGGTGTCTAAATGCCAACACTTTAACAGACTGAAGAAGCCAGCAATGTTAAGTATGCAATTTTTGAAGAGGGCTGTATTGGCACTGCTGTTCAAATGTAAAAACTGCCAATGCAATAGTACAGAACAGAAAATAAAATAGGACACTGACACTGAAAACAGTTATTCATTGACGTCAATCACCCTGTGTATCAACCAATAAAAATCTTACATTACCCTTTTTAGTTGACTTTTAAAAAAAATTAAAAAAAAAACCCATCACACTGGTTGTTTTATTATACTTCCATTATTTTGCAAGATCACATACATGGTCTGTATGCACTCAGAGACCCATCTTCCTCCAGAGCCTTTAAAAAACCTAATAAGCGTATGGGTCTTCTGGGCTTGCTTTCTGTGGAGCCTGCCAACAGAACAAGGCCATTCATGTTTGCCAGATAAACCCCAGTGGACCAGGGGGCCATTCAGAAATTTGACACCGAAAACAAAAAACAAAACAAAAAAGAAAAAACAGGTCACGTCTGGCAGAGACTACAGGAGGAGACAGACTCTGACTCACAAGTGCTCTGCAACTTGAAACCAAATCATCAATATTAATTTACAACCAATGGCTGTAGAAATAATCAGTTTTTCTCCCTCTTGTGCTATCCGTCTGGTTGTACATTTGATGCTGTCCTTTACTGTTGCTGTGGGTTCTCTACAGCCTCAAGATTTAATTTCACCCCTTCAGGGGTGCTGGAGGAAATTTATGTGTGGTAGTGGCTGGTAATTTCAATGCCCAATTAATAATGAGCTAGAATAAATGAGGGTCCTCTTCAGCTGTTCACAGTGTGTGACAGGTTACATGCACTTGAATAGCTGAGATGTGGATTTGCCAACACTGTGCTCCATCACTGGAATGATTGCGAGGCACGGCCACTTACAAATGCTTGAATTAAGGCAGGATATTAAGATGTTTTGGGGTTTGGTTTTTTTTGCTTTGTTAAACACAAGTCTATTTCACTCTTGACGTTCACTTTTCAGATTAGAAGAACAGGAAAATATTATGTGTAAGTGCACTTAATTAACATCTCTAATGTTTTTAGAAACCACATAGTACTTGAAAAACTTTTCTGGTTGCCAACCAAAGTGACTGATGTACGGGAACAGACACACTATCAGCAGCCAAATTTTAATTAGTATTTGGCAAACAGTTATAGCTGAATTCCCACTCATAATTCTCTAAAATATCTGCATTTCAGTACCAAATACCACACAATTTATTGCATTTATCGCAAAAGCACAAGGCGCTAATAACTGATCTCAGGGACAGACATAACTGTTTGTTACACAACAGCCCCTGTTCAGGCCTCCTTCACGTTTCCTCCCTCTCCCACACATAGAAGTTGTAAAGCTGCTGTTGCCATAGAAACCACTCATTCATTCCTCCCCTTTAAGCCCATCGGGATTCTGGGTAGGTGGTGAGACAGTGTCAGTTCCCCCCGCAAATCATTATCCACTCCGGTTCACCAGCAAGTAAATAAGCTCTCTAAGCTAGTGCACAACATAACCATACTAAGAAGTACAGCTGCAGCTATCGATTATTTTAGTAATCGAGTCATCTATCAATTATTCCATCGAGTAACTGATTAGAAATATCTTTGTCTTATTATCGAGATATATTCAAAAGTGAAAAATAAATAAGAGAAAAAAATCTAATTGGTTTCCAGTTTGTTTGTTTTTTGTTTCATCTGCCATCTGCTTCACTTGTCAAAAAAAACAAAAACAAAATTTAATATGACACCTAAATACAAAGAATTTGTTTTTGTTTTTTCAAATAATACATTTTCTTAAATGCAAAAAAATTTAAATACTCAAATAAGAGGCATAAAACTAAGGATTTAAAATATATATATATCTTTAGTCTGTCTTCTTGGAATGCTTTATGAGTTTTTGTACATGTTTCTGCGTGTTTGAGTCTGCAAGTTAATGAGTAAGTTTGTGTCTGCAAGCCTTTAAAGGAGAATGTGGTGGCTGTAATGAAGAGAAGCGAGTATATCAGCATTCTGAAGTTTGACCAGTGTGTTGATGCAAAGTTTTTGTGTTGCTGAAAATAAGATGATGGTGATGGTGCAGACATTAATGATATTAAAGATGATTCACCGTTTTTAAATATTACTGCAATTCATTGAGACACTATTTTATATGTATTCACTTGTGAATAAATGTTATAAAAATCTTGAAATAAACGTGGTGTAGTACACACCATGCCCCCCCTTTATACTCTCTCCTGTTCGCTTCCATGTAAAAACATGGAAGCGATCATGTAAAACATGGAAGCCCTTAGTCTTCAGCAAGATATATAATTGAACTATTCTGGAATCAGACTACGTTAACAGTTCCTCTGCATTTTTTTAATGTAGCCTTACTTCTGGAAACCTACTGCAGATTTTTCATTGCGTGAAACAAACGACGGTCGATGGAGTTGCTACAAAGTTTGCTTTTCTTCACATCAAGAGTTTGTTGATCAGATGCTTTGTCAATGACCCCCCCTCTAGTTTTTTCCCCAGGAAAGGCATTAATGTTGATCTCAGGAATATCACTGCTGTTTATGATTTTCTTTTTCTCAACAGAGCTCACGTCTCGTTAATAGCTCCGCCTCTTTGCTCTTTGCCGTGTGTAAAAAGACTCCTAGTTTAACTATCCCAGCTTCATCATCACTAGTGTTGTGTTATCAGTGTATACCGGCTTAACTTCCTTAAACTTTTTTTATTCACACGCTGCTCATAAATACTTTTGTATTACACAAATGTTTTCAGTCGTAAATGTGGGTGGATCGCTCGGGTTTGCGTTTCCATGGTAACAATGGCGCGCTACAATCATCGAAGCAAAGAATTTGTATTGAGACTTTTTTTATAATCTGATTATTCGTAATACTCAATACCAGTCCTACTAAAAATAGATGGTAAGACAAGTTCACCATTCTTACTTGTGTTATGGAACAAACACTTAAAATAAATACATCATATATTCCATCCATTACCAATTTCTTGCTGAATACCAACATTTTTTTAAACTTAATATAACCCTATAAACTGAAAAAACCTCAATAACATAGACATAACAGTGAGCCATAGCATTTGCATCTACATCTCCCTACTACAATACACTAATACACTCAACCTACTCTCCCTGCTATAAGGCCAATGTAGAGGTGCTACAAAAAGTGAGAAGTGGACTCAAGTGCTCATCATCCATGATTAATTGGATCGGGTCTCCCAGGCAAGATGATATAGTAACAAATACCATCAATGAGGGAGAACAGCCCAGAGCATCCCGTCTATGTTGAGCAAACATAAAAGATTTCCCTGAATGATTCATAGCCTGTGATTTCGATGCTCAGTATTTGTTAATTACCCACACTGGGATTGGAGAGTCATATGCTTTTTTTGATCCCAGTGTGGAGGAGCTTTGTTCAGGGGAGGACATTATGACTGTGTCCTGGGGGAGATGTCCTTAACGCCATTTTGCGCATGATGGAATTGATATGAAACGCATTCCATCGATTAAATAGGTTGGCATCTTTTCATCCGCACTTTTAATTGAATTAAATATAGTTACATTTTTTAAGCCTTTGCATTGAACTTCCACATTAGCAAAACCTCATTGATCAGTTTGAAAAATGAATATTATAATCAGGAGCAGAGAACATTTTTAATATCCAATGTTAATCCAATGTTAAAACTTGGTACATATATTACCCACAATGCAACTCAACCACCAACAGTTCAGTCAAGTGATTTGGGCGTGTTGTGGGGAAACAAAACACAAAAACTTGGTGATATAGAAACATGCTTTCAGACCAATTTTTGATATTTGATGTTTGACACGTCTTTATATGAATCTATCTATATAAATATATGAGCTTTGTATATGAATCGATGTAAGCTTAATGCTTTGACACATCAGTGAAAGAAAAAACAAAACAAAAAAACTCACCACTTTCTCTTTGGAGCGCAGCACGCCCAGCTTACCAAAGCGCACATGGAATGGCGAGCACTGGTAGGTGCCATCTCTCTGACGGACAACCACAACATCGATGCAGCCTGACAATGTGGCCTGGTTAATGCCCTTATACAGTTCTTTGACAGTCACCAGAACCTGACCTGCTAGCTGGCCAACGTAGTTCATGGTGTCCGCCTGTACAGAGAAAAACAAAAACAAAAAAAACTAATATTAACAGAGTAAATGGAAAGACAAGCTAAAGGCATTGTTATTCAGCAAGAGTCCAGAAGACACAACCACTTATGAAATCTACAAATATTCCACTTGAAAGCTCCCTCCCTTCCTGCTTACCCTGTGGTGTCTGTTTATCTCCTGACCTCCATACAGACTGCTAGAGTTATACTGTTGTCCTATAACTGGCCATTGTCCCACGTGAACAACATTAGACAGAGGAAGGCTGCTATGGAAGCAGTTGACTTCCTGTTTACATCCATTAAACACTACTGTCAAAATCAAATCAAAAACTAAAACCACATTTCTGTGGCTTTAATATGAGCAGGATTAATGCTGTACATTTTGTCATAATGCTTTTAATCATCTGGAATAAGCAATTTGCAGGACTGTAAATTCCTTAACAAGCAAAGTGCTCAGTTTACTTGACCAAAGAAAAAGTACACAGGGCAGGGCTATCGTTGCATAATTACAAAAACTTTCCTTGGTGCACTATGGCCTCTTTACTGAACTAGATTATTTGTCCTCGATTGTCCTCTGCGACACAGAGTGTGTGTAACGATTAACTTAAACATGACTTTGGTTTGCCTGGGTCAGGGTCTAGTTTACTGGGGCCTGTAAACACATTGCCTCACTGACTTCATTGGGTTTACATAACCTGACATGTTCTGTCTTACAGTAACCTTTTGTTCTGAATCTAGTCATGAGAGCAGTGATGGAGGGTGTGGAGGGGGGTAAGGGGGTAGAGAATAGGGACATTTGTGCAAGGGTGGCATCATGGAATATGGCAAACAACTGTGGTATATTCATTCAGAGTAGGATGATGAGTAGAGAATATATGCACAGCGTATTCACTTTAAACCATAATCAGACAGGCAAACAGGACACTTTAGCAGCTATCACAGCCACCACAAAGTTCAAAGAGCAGTAGAAAGTTCAGATCATTTGATACCAGCAGGAATCCAAGAAACAAGAAGCTCCGCGTTCGCGTTTCCTCGAACTTCACCCCAAATTTGTACACAGTGACAATGTGAAAAACAGGTCAACTACACTCTGTTGGGATAATCGCATAAATATAGTAACAACCAGGGTTTACACACCTGACATATTTTCAGTACAGATTGTATGACTGAAGCGTTAGGTATGTGTTTATAATATGAAGGACCAGTGAACCTATATTTTTGTGTATGACACTTAAAAATACAATACACTTTAGCTCCAGCACCATCTTTCATATTACAGGTTAAAGGTACAAATGTGGTATGCCGATTTTTGTGTCTTTATCTACTTTCTCCATCTCTAGAAACTAAGAACTTTTACCAAAATAACACTTTAAAGAGATTTACAGTACTGTAGATATTTAACTTTCACTTTTATTTCGGTGTCAGAAAGTCAGAGTACACGTACACCGTGTCTATTGGACTGATGTAGGATTAACACTGAGCAAATTATCACGGGATCATTTGGAAAATGTGCGGCAAATGCTTCAACCTGCTTCTACACATTTATTTTTCCTTCTTTCAGGGTCAGCCCAGAAGTAGGGCAATGCAAAAGTAGACTACAGTCAGAAATTAAACAGGACGGCTCGGTATTTTAGATGACACATAATTAGCACAGGTGATGAAAGACTCATGAGCCAATCTGTACTATTTTGACTGGATCACAATGCTATATTTGTCCCCCTCACTGCCCACTTCTTTTAACGTCAAATTACAAATCAAGGCAATCATGTGTGAAACTATTAGGCTTAGTTACAGTAACAAGCCAACAAACCAAGCAACCTGACAAAACCAAACAATAGAAGATGACTAACTGCCTATTTGGCCCTCTAGTTTCAGGCCCAAGCTGTGACTAACCAGAAAACCTGCCAGTACTGACTCACCAGGAACCAAGATGACCTCTGAGAGGATGGCTCATCCTGTTCACTGTTGTCTGTGTTGTCTTCTGTGTTGCTTCCCAGGAGCTCCCTGTTCCCCCAAGATCTCGGTCTCTTCATCACCATTAACAGAGCGTCAGCTCCAGCCTTATCCACCTCAGGACTAGACTAGCACCAATGTTTTCCTCTCTCAGATTATGGTGATAATATCCCCCTGTCATCCTGAATCAAATCTCAAATAAGGTCCACCTAATCACCTTGCAATGACCCTCCCAGGAGTAAATACAGATACACTACCTGAAGCCAGCTGCGGTTGTGTAATAGTAATAAAGATTGTCATTTTTCTTTTATTCTCTGCAGAATATGAACATATGCTTGTCCAGTCAGCTGACATGGCAGTAAGGGTTTAGCCAATGGGACGGCTTCTTTGGACTTGTGGTTTATAGCTGATAAGAGAATGCTAATTTCTGTGAACAGCTATGCAATGTTTTCCCCTGATAAGAGTAGGCAAAACCAAACAGCAATCCCCAGCAAGATGTTCTTTTACAGTCAGTCACGTATACCTGTCAGGTTCATTGCTGCAGGTGTTTGTTATTGTAGATGGCTCATCGAAAGTAGGACAGTAAGTACACTGGACTTCAATATGTTGATTTCTTTGTTGCCAGTTGTCACATGAGCTCAGAAAACAGATGGAATTTTTTTAAACAGCACCAATATCATAATCTTTGCACACTAAAACAAATAAATAAGTAATAAATCCGGTAGAGCGGTACACTGATGAGACTATAGTTCAAGCCATGATGAACACGTTTTTATCATCAGGAGGTTCTCTCTAGTTTGGCTTCCAGCATTCGCTCCTAAAATGAGCATAAAGCATGAGGCTCTTCCAAAGAGGTCTCAGCCCCACTGTCCCATCTGCTAAGCTTTTTGTAAACATGACCAAAGAAAACACAGGCCCACTGAGTTGAGGGCTGTGGGCTCTTCCTCCCCCTGTGCTAGGATCTGTTCTGTGTTCAAGAATTTAACAACAGCCATTCGGAAAATAAATGAGTACTTTCTCTTAGTGATAAAACATGGAGAAAAATTATATGTGCCATTTAACAAATAAGAAATCTTTAAATTACAAACTCGAGCAATTAAGAATTACAAGCACAGACATGTTGTATTATGGTCTACTCCACAATTATGGCTTTCATCTGGAATGATCTAGTCAACATTTGCTTTGACTGGGTAACAAAAGAAATCAGTTCTGCTAGACCACACAAAGTTCATGTTACACACTTTCAAGTATTAAGTTACACAAAACCAGCCTGCTCATTATGTGCAACATAAACCAAACCCCACAGAGTGCCAAGCTGCACTTTTACACGAGAAAAGGAGATTTTTTTGGTCACAATCAAAGTGTAGTTCATTATTTTCCAGTGAATTGCAAAATCCCTGTGAATTTGACAATACACAAAGCACAAGTGGTCAAAGTACCAACACTAATTCTATCCGGAAGATTGAACGCTTTCAAAATGTTTTCTTCTCTTAAGTGTAGACGATAACCAACACACACAGAAACATGTTCATTCAAAGTTATTTTGCATTTATAGTCTATGGTCCGGTAAACTTGTATTGTGTTACATATAAGGGAACTGAGAACTAGTTAGAAATTATCCAATCTACTGGAAGCAGAAGCATCTGAGCTTATTTTTCATTGCAAAGTAGTGAAGTCACACTACAGTGTGGCAGTGTGCAACAGTGGAGTAACTGCATACCTGAGTCACATGAAATACTTTATATGTCTTTTGTTTCTACAGTGTGTCCAGACTCTGATCTGAAACAGTGTTGAGATTGTAAATGAATGCAAACATACTTTTCCACCCTGAAGAAAATTGAACAGGAGTTAATAATGGAATCAATAAAGAATCTGAGTTGTGGCCAAAACTAAACTAAGCATCTGCATTAAAAGAAAAATACTTCTAAAACCTGATTCTAATGTTTAGACTGTTTTAATTTAAAAGCTACAAACTATAACCCCAAATTGACCATTAATGTAACTAAGATTTTGCCCTTCAAATAGTTTCAGTAACCGAACATTTATGAAAATAAGGTTATTTGCAAGATTTATGTCAGATTGTATCTTGAATTTCTAATATTACCTGTAACTCAGAATGACTAAATAAGAGTATTGGTATGGGTTTTTCTAATATTACACATTTAAATTAAAACGTTGGGGGAGAAAAGTGTTGTCTCTAAGTTGATTGGTACCAAGATTCTGGTTACTAGTGTTTTCAAAGGCCACCCACAAGCAGGTGTTTTCTTATGTGAGGAGTCAGCTTACAAGCCAACGCTAAATACAAAACATGAGTTTATGCGATACACAAGCTTGCTCCAACGTTAGTCAGTTGAGTCATTCCGTTTTAATGTCAGCCTGAGCTGTTATAGCTATAAAAATGCTAATTTTGAAGATTAAAGCTGGTGTATGGCTTGACATACGTCCCGAGTACATACATACTTCGATGTCATTGCGGAAATAAATGAAAAGCGAAACCATAAATCTTAGTTGTTTTGTACAACCGTGCTTTAACTGGTACAAATCCAAGCTATAAACAGTGGGTGAAAATAGTACATGGGAGGAAAAAATGAATGGAGACGGAGCTCTGTCAGCTAGCTGCTTGCCAGCTTGTTAACCCTCAGCTAGCCACCGTGTTATCGCTGGGTTTACGTTACCGTAACAGCAAACGGTGAAACACGAGTCACTCACTAGGTCACCGCTTTCAAATGGAAAGTCAATATATTTCTGCATTATGTGATAAATACATTCACAGTCCGGTCTTTTTGGTGTTTTAATTAAATGAATCCACAGCAGCTTAAAACTGTTAGCAAGGTTAGGTGCTAGCTATGGTTAGCCGAAGGCAGATTCAGATAATAAGATGTTAAAAGCAGCTGCGAACCGCTTTGACAGGGCTCGAAATAATTTTATCACTAAACCCTTACCTTCTGGTTGCGGGATGCTGCCGATGAAGGACGTTATGGTTTCTTCACTCAGTCCCCATATCTGTACCCGTGAAACTCCTCAGAAGCCTTCTGACGTGTCTGGACCACCGTGACCGACTGGTGGTGGCTGCCAGCAGAGAGCTGAAGTTGATGGGACAGGGAGCCGCACAGCGGCGGTGCACTCACACAGCTGGTGGGATACTTTCGGTTTGTCTGTGCCGTACATAAATTCATTCACTATACTTGCAGCCAAAATTACAGCCCCTGCAGTGTATTTAATACTATAACTTATGTACAGTTATTATCATAATAAGGTTTGTATCTAGGTAAAAGTTAACTTTTCTCCCTCCTAACGACCTTTCAGGAACTGGGTTACACACAATGACAACAGGTTCTTTTCATTTGACCATCATCAATCTCACAAGTGCTCTGCAACTTGAAACCAAATCATCAATATTAATTTACAACCAATGGCTGTAGAAATAATCAGTTTTTCTCCCTCTTGTGCTATCCGTCTGGTTGTACATTTGATGCTGTCCTTTACTGTTGCTGTGGGTTCTCTACAGCCTCAAGATTTAATTTCACCCCTTCAGGGGTGCTGGAGGAAATTTATGTGTGGTAGTGGCTGGTAATTTCAATGCCCAATTAATAATGAGCTAGAATAAATGAGGGTCCTCTTCAGCTGTTCACAGTGTGTGACAGGTTACATGCACTTGAATAGCTGAGATGTGGATTTGCCAACACTGTGCTCCATCACTGGAATGATTGCGAGGCACGGCCACTTACAAATGCTTGAATTAAGGCAGGATATTAAGATGTTTTGGGGTTTGGTTTTTTTTGCTTTGTTAAACACAAGTCTATTTCACTCTTGACGTTCACTTTTCAGATTAGAAGAACAGGAAAATAATATGTGTAAGTGCACTTAATTAACATCTCTAATGTTTTTAGAAACCACATAGTACTTGAAAAACTTTTCTGGTTGCCAACCAAAGTGACTGATGTACGGGAACAGACACACTATCAGCAGCCAAATTTTAATTAGTATTTGGCAAACAGTTATAGCTTTCAGGAACTGGGTTACACACAATGACAACAGGTTCTTTTCATTTGACCATCATCAATCTTTCAAACCCTTTTTTTTTTAATCTTTATTTATTATTAATTATACTGAGGGCATTTCTGTTAATCAATGAGCTGAAGACGGGAGATTATGGAGAACAAAGGCAACCCTCTCTACAAGCAGGTGCAGTTTTATTGCAAGAGTGCCTTGAAGAGACACAAACATAGATACTGTATTCAGCCTCAGGCCACATGGTACATGAGTGTTTATCACATGGGGGTTTTCTTTATATTTTACCTGAAAAACAACATTCCCACCCACTACCCCCACCCCAGTTCAACGGAATTTCTTCATAGTGTGTGGTGTTCAGAAGTGATTCCAAGTTTTCCAGTTCTGCCTGTACTCCTTTGCGTTCGTACAGTGTGTTAGACACATCAGATGAACCTGTTCTGATTGCTGTGTACTTGTTTACATGGCATCAGTGCTTTTCAGCTCCACCTCTCCTACAAACAGATGTGATCACTGACTTGTAGCTCGCAAGCTGTACAGACATAACATACACACACAGTTTTAGCCATCATATCACTTTATAAGTTGATTGCAATAGCTGGTATAAAGTTAATGACATAATATTTTCCTTTTTTTTTGTTTACAGTGGGGAAAACCCAAAGTGATGTGGTCTGAAATGCCTAAAATTACTTAAATGTAAAACTTTAAATGATCAGAATAGAGTGTTTTGCTTTTGGAGGTCTTCAAGCTGTTTTCAAAATAAAATTGTCAAGTCAAATATCCCCCAAACATGACACATCAAGCACAAACTGCAAGCAAACAGTTATTCTGTTTCACATTCATAACCCTATCCTTAATAAGAAATGCCCGAAACTCTTTAACCCATGATTGTTTTTTTTAAATTCATGATTTATTTATTTATTTGCTGTGTTGCACCGGCACATGCCGGGGTAAAATACTTTGGAGACTGCCCTGTTGTTAATCTTCCTTGTGTCATTACGCTGTGTCATCCTTTAGTCTTTCTTCTCCTCCTTGCTCTCCTCTTCCTCTGGGTTGTACACGCTGACGGTGAACTCGCCGGCCTCTGTGCCATACTTGTTCTTCACCACAAGGGCGTATTTGCCAGAGTCAGCCGTGGAGACGGCGGCGATTGTGATACTGGCGAACTTGTTGTGCTCAAACTTGAGTTTGTAGTGGTCGTCAGATACCAGCACCTTTTCGTTCTTCGTCCAGGACACCTCAGGTACAGGCTCGCCCCAAACGTTGCCAGTTAGGTTCAGGGACTAACGAGTAAATATAAGTTGGCAGGGGATTGATGGGTGTCACACATATGCAACAAGAGAGCTTATCAGATTTTAGAGGTAAGACACACTCATAGAATAACACAAACTAAGAGAGAACAGAAAGAATAAGAGAGTGACACTCTTCATGAATAGAGTGAAAAATTGTTTATTTACCTTGCCCTCTTGGATTGCAACCACATCTGGCAAGCCTCCAACAACACGAGCACGGTCTAAACAGGAAATACAGGTGCAAGTGTCAAACATCAAGGAGAGCTCGTGAGCATTATACTCACCAATGCTGCATTTTTCAGTGGTGTAGTGAAGTGTGTTTTAGCTGGAAATTTCCTTTGTTCACTTTCATATTTCAGCTACAGAGGAGATCTATCCTTTAACCACGCTATATCCAAGTTAGAATTTAAGCGATATCCCAAAAGATGTTACATAATTTCATAGAGTGGTGTCCCTCGGGAGAAACCAGAGAATAAATAGGCACTTACTTCTCTCAGCGATTGCTGCAGCTCTAAGGGAGGAAGGAAGGACACAGACATTGTCAGAAGCTTTCTAAAATGGTATCGTAGTTATTTCTAAGTATGTTCACTACCGGCAAATGTATTTTGAGTGCATCCAAAACAGCCCTCATGTCTATTTTGAGTTTGTGATGGTTGCTGCTCTTTATTTCTGTAAACATCCTCTTCAGACAGAAAAGCTGAATTACACAAAAGAAGGATGGAGTCAGATGAGTTTGTTTACTTACTTGAGCCTTTGGAATTCTTCAAATGCCTCTTCCCATGCTGCACCAGGACAAATCACCAATCATAATTTAGTTACATAAGCACAAAAGATAGACAAAGTTAACAGGATGTGGTTCTTTCTTCGCCTGAAGCGTCTTGCTCCTTTTGACTTTAAAACTTTTACCCACCCTTGCCAGTCAGATCAAAGGCTCTCTTTACACCGTCCTTGCCATCAAAGATGTCCATGCTGTATTTGCCCTTGTCCTTCTCAGTAGGCTCATTGATCTTAAGCCAAAGCTGGTCTCCTGTGACTCCGGACTTAACTCTCTCTGAAGCAGCAATTTTGCCGTCTCTGGTGAAGGAATCAAGAACACAGACATCAAACAATGCCTGACTCCTAATTTATTGAAATGAAAATGTATACAATCCAGTACACCAAGGAATATGACTCAAGTACGGAGCAATACTTGCAGCAGACACTTCAATCTTGCATAATAATCCCTGTTTTGTTTTGTTATTTAAATGTCACATGTGGCAAGATTTTATCCCCATCTATACATATATAATCATGAACATCAACAAGAGAGCTGATGGTTTTAGCCATTTTTTTTACCGTTTCATTTTCAATTTGATTTTCGAATGGCACAATATTACCTCATGTTGTGTACTGCAGGTCTCAGATATGCAAAAAGTGTTGCCATAGTGCACAGACCAGCTTTGAAGGTCTTATACAAAAAACAGTACCATGACTACTATTGTGATACTTTACACAAGTAGTAATGACAACTACAGTACAAAAAAGCAGAGAAGTGTTAAAGAATTTCATGAAAGCAATTAATTTAACTGTTACAATATGTAGATGAATGCTGGAAGAGATATATATGGATGGCTAGATTCATGTTAATTCTAAAAGCAATAGATAATACAGAGAAATTAGTTGAAATAGCTGAAATTATGAATAAATATTACGCTAAATGTAATTGGCTTAGCTAACTGTGGCATGGAGACTATGTTAACCAAACTTTACAGATTTTAATTGAAACAATATTTAAATAAAATGAACATTTCTGAAACGTGACACGGTGTCAATAAAGTGGTACTTGCAGTGCTTATTTGACTGGTCGGTGTGGTTACATTTGTTACGAAAACTCGACTTTGTTCTGGGGGAGAAATAATAGTTCACGAGTTGCAGATAAGCATACAATTAATATCAACTAACATCAAGTACAACAGGTGAACCCATTTTACAGCAGTCATCCAATTCTCAAATTCTAATCTCACAACGTTTCAGATTGTTGTAGTTACAATCGGAAAATTGTAACTACAACAATTTTCAGATGTGGAAATACATCTCCTCACTATCAGCAGCTTGGCTGTCCTTAAGCCTCTAATAAAAGAAAAAACATGCAGCTGACTGTGAGACAGCTTTATCTTCTTTCCTTTCATGCAGGATTCTCCACAGTATCTCACACAAAAGGAATTAATGAAGGAAGCCCTAGAGCACCTTTCCTAAGGATTTAGAGAATTCAGCCAGGTCTTGTTATGGCTGTCTTGCAGCTCCTTCCGCATCACTTCCCCCAGTGAGGATTATGGACAGTATAAAAGATAGATGTAGCTGCTGGGTCGGAAAAGCAAAGCCAACTGTGGAAGTGCTTTTAATATCCATTCTTTTTAATAGCCACCAGGGGGCAACCCTGGTGGCTACAAAAGGACAGTTGTACTGTACAGTTCCACTTAAGCCTGAAGGGCAGCACAGTAGTTAGTATTGGCACCTCACAGCAAGAAGGTCCTGGGTTTGAATCCAGTCTGCGCCAAGATGGTGATGGTGAGAACATTTAGCTTGAGGTTTTATATGCAAAACCACTTTTTCAGTTCTGCCCACAAAGAGACTTTACCGCACAGATCCTTCCGATACAAAAAAAATCAGTTCAAACATCTGTTGTCTGTTTCAAATTGTGTTTATGTTTTGAGGTAGTTTTGCCTATTTTTTAATGACTTATTTTGTCTTTATGTAAAAGTGATTAGCAAAAATTCTGCAGATAAAAATGTTGTTTTTTGAATTAACTTGAATGATGGATGAGAGGTGAAACGTCTTCAAGCAACTTAAAGAAGTCCAGACGCTTTTCTTTCCAAGCTCCTTAGAATGAACTTGAATCATTTACACATGCATTTATCACGCACTAAGAGGTTTACCTCATAATTTCATGTACAGACTGTATGGTTATAAGCAACATTTTACAATGCTGGTCAGATAATTTTGCACAGTGTCGATAACAGTATGACATCAATCTAATTGGACACCTCTGAGAGTCAAGGTCAAAGACTGTTATCAGCTGCATTTGATTTTAAATGTAGCTTCATGATAGTATTGCTTTGTGTATTTTATAAGTGAATGAGTCTTAAAATAAAATAAAAGATTGCAAACCAGGACAATTTCACATACTTGTGGAGCCAACCAACACGCAGGTCCTCATGGTAATATGTGACCGTGGAGTAGAGGACGATGCCATGCTCGGTACTGAGAACTTTGATTTCGCTGGAAGAGTTAGCTGTAGGGAGAAAAGAGCAAAGACAGGCACTTATTTGCATCTCTTGGAGCTAATATCGGATAATGGTATGCAGTAAAGCATGAAATATTTAGATGTTAAATCTTCGTTCTCAGGAAAAATACTTTGAATAGGCACATTCTGCTTCTTTCTGTGGGCCTCTTTAGTGCGTGGTCTATGTGTTGTGCTTCATTACTGCCTGGTAAGTGTGAATTTTAATGACTCACCAATAACCCTGAACAGCTCATTCATTACAGCTTGGTATCCTGGGGAAAAGCATGACGACAGCAATTAATGTCACATTCGCTGATATTACTTTTGCTTTTCCGCAGCACTCATTTCCACTTTTCCACTTGATTTTCAGCTCCTAAAATTTCTGAGGGAGACTACCTGCATCTGTCAGACTGAAGGTGCTCTTATCTTTGCCTCTCTCATCCCTCAGGAAGACCTCGTAAACACCCGCGTCGTGCTTGGAGATCTAAGATTCAAATTAAAAGTCACATAAGTATCCTTGAAGCAATAATGAAATCCCCTTAACCTCAAAGTGAGGGGAGTGCAATATTATTTTTGGGACAGATAAAAGACAGTCAAATAGCCAGACAGGGACCAAGTAAACCGAAAAGGCAAGCTTTTCTCCCGCCCGTGATGCTGCAGGCGTTAAAGGGAAAACATGGAAAGGACAGAGAAAAACATGGATATGGGAAGACAAGGAGGACACATGGAGAAATCAGGTATCAACTTATGGCAGAAAGATTATGTCCAGACTTTAGGTCTTGGTGGCGGGGGAACGTCCTCTGCAGGTGGTTTTCTCTTTTTTTCTTTCTGTTTCTCTTGCTTAATAACCCACTGTGAATTAGACAGATAAGCCAGTTATTGCAAATGCAGCTGACAGGAGCTCATGCAATGACACCGACCCTCTTCTAATGAGTAATGCTTACACAGTCTCAATGAAATATCAATGTAGCTTCCCTGGCACTGGGCCCTTAGCGTCAAACCAGATCAAAATTCTATCAAAAAGAGTTTTTTTCTTTTCTTTTTTGTGCATGTAAGGTTGCCAGAGAAGTTATATTGATTATTGTTAGAATGAAATGAATGAGTTAAAAGCGCATGACATGTACAATGGAATTACGTGGGTATAAATACGATCGCCGAGTCTCCAAGTATGAAAATTCAGAGAAAGCATTAATTGTAGCAGTTTCGGTACCCACTGCATCTATTCAGATCCCCACAGGGAACACGCTAATGTGCTGACTCCAGCACTCTACTACAACCTGGGAAGGTGAATATTTTCCATAGTGTTTCATCATTTATGAATGTATGTGTCAGAGAGGGCTGGTAGACAGCGCAGCAGCTGGTAAGGCTGTACAATGGAAGCAGAGCTGCATCAGCACTCCTGATAGCTCTTTACTCATAAGCTCACAACTCCTCGCAACATACGGCCTCCATCTAATGGCTGACCTTTCCGATATTAAAGGTCAGCTCGCCGTCCTGCCTCTCGATTTTCTTAGCATCCTCATCATCCTCTGCAATCTCAATGCAGTCCTTAGACCAAGTGATCTCAGTCTCTGGTCTGACATTTCCAATCTATGAAACAAAGAGAGAGACAGGAAGGAGTCGCTTTACCTATGTGCTCCACCTCTGAAGAAATATCAACAGCGCTGTAATTATTCACATTCGTTTCTATTACCTTGCATTTCAGCAGTACATCACATTCAGGGGTAACACTGAAGTCAAGGTACTCGACAAAGTGAGGACCTGAAAATAAATGGAATGATTACACAAAAAAAATTATTTGTTTAATTATCATTAGGCTTACTTGAAGAGGCGTGAGATTTCTTACCTTGTTTCCTGACCCATTCTGCCCTCGCAAATTCTGACTTCTTTTGAAGCTCCCTGAATTCTGGACAAAGAGAAACATAAATGCTAAAAAACAGATTAAACCCTTATTTTTCACTTCATTCACTCACAAGTGTATTAGAAAATGCGTGCCATAACAAAATGAAAAGGGACAACTGTAAGTAAACGTTGCCTTCTGCTGCCCCTCAATGGATACATAATTAAACTGCAGCACTGGCGATACACCTAGCAGACTGGGAGAAGTCTATATTTACACTGACATTTGCATTGTGTATTTTTACAGCCTTCATTTTCATGCTGTTCTCTTGACTTCGTCTTAACTGCTCAGTACTTTTATGCCATTTTGTCAGTCCTTAAAGTTATAAGTTAGGCTAATCCAAGTTATTATTATATCAAAATGGAAGTCAAAACTGTATTAGCCATTAAAGCTGCTTACCATCTCCAATTAGCACCAGACTGGTTGTACCCTTAGCTTTGCCATCCACCAGGTTAAAGGTGAACGTCCCCTCATCTGTGACTTCCAAAGAGTCCATGAACATTTCGATAATACCGCTGGACTTGTCGAAGTTCATTATGTATTTCTGAAAACAGTGAGGCAAACAGAAAACCTCTGATCCATCAGCAGTAAGGTTACGTTCAATTTAAAACTGGGGGGGGGAGGTGTCGGCATTATTATTGCAGCATTATTCCTAACCTTTCCCTGAGAAATGATAACATCGTTGAAGACATACTCCACTTGGCAGTCAGAAGTGCATTTCTCCACCTGAGTCCAGAATCGCACGCGACCCTTCTCGAGCAGCTCCATAGCCATTTCGTTCTTAAAGGGAATAACTAGAGAGCACCAGATTTATTAAAGCTCTTGCAGAACAACTTCTATTTTCTTTAGGATTATTGCATGTAGGTATAGATGTAGGGCATAAAGTCACAGTGGGTATCAGCAATAACAGAGTTAAAAACAGGCTTGTAGGCTGCATTTGTTTGAGAAAAGAAGTCATTTTCAAACCATATTTAAACCAACATCTACATTTATTACTAAATAAAACTGAAATTCTGGTCTTGGTAACATCTGTGCTTTGTCCCAATATTCACCAGGGAACTTGTGATCATGGCTGATGTCCAGAAGACGCTTGAGACCTGTCAATTAAGAAAAGAACAACAAAATGGATGAATGTCATGACCTCTGTAAACCGACAGAAGTACTGCACCATGTAATCTGAGACAGCCTTCAAAGGGCGTCTCACCCTCCTCAGTGAGCGTGTAGCTGGAGGAAATGCCGTCAGTGTTGGTGACTACACAGGAGAAGGTACCCAGATCCTCCAGAGAGGGACTATTGAAGATAGCTCTGGATCTGCAGATGATGACACAGCAAGGGAGGAGAGTGGGGACATTTTTTCTCTTTTTAGCTGATATCATCTGGTGACATGGATTCTAATGCTGGGGGAAAATGGTGGTAGTGAACATTTCCCCTTGTGGGACAATTAAAGGATTATTCTATTCTATTCTATTCTATTCTATTCTATTCTATTCTATTCATTAGTGGTACATAATGTGTACTTACTTTCCCCGTTCACTGATAATAGTCAGACGAGAGGTGTCTGTGATCTCTTTGTAGTTCTTGGACCAAACAAACTCAGAGCCCTCCATCATCTCAGAGCACTCAAAGACCATGGAAATCACACCGTCATCATCAACATCCACGTAAATCTCTTTGGTGCCTAAGGGAGAGATATTAAATGGTGAGAGGATCCTCGATATTAGTATTTTCAGTCCTCAAACTCAGAATTTTAGTCATTAAAAGAGTAAATCATCAAAATAAAAAGCCTGGCCATCAGTGTAGAACTGCAAAAGAATGTCAAGTCATGTGTGAGGACAAATTTTCCACATTTTTTTAAGACTGGATAGGAACACTCTGTGACTGACTGCATCAGTTACATAACAGTCTCACTCACCAGGGCGAGTCTGGGCCAGGATTGGACCTAAGACTGCAGAGGGCTTTCCAACTCCAGCAAGATTTTGAGCACGCACGTGGAACACATAGGATGCGCCACCCTTCAGTCCAGTCACCTGATTTAGCACATAACAGGCAGGGGTAAGAAAGAGTCCAACCACCAACTATTAAAACCAGTATTTCACACGTCGTATTTGACATTAAGATATTAATGAACCAATTTTATTCAAACTGAATTATATGCATCTTCCTCACCTTCATGTATTTCATCTTGTTGACCTTTTCATGAACACCTTTCCAGCATTCCTCACCAGCAGAGGCCTCCTTGACGTCCAAGTAGTAGCCATTGACAGGCGAGCGACCATCAAACACCGGTGGCTCCCACAGGACCACCACAGAGGTGTCACGGACCTCCAGTACATGAAGACCAACAGGAACACCTTAAAGATAAAAGTGTTTAAATAATTAATATCAGGGGCTAAGGTCTAATTATATAGACAAAAACCTGGCTTAGCACCAAATTATAATGCTGAGAACTGAAAGCAATATAAAGTGATTTAACTGACTGTTGTCTAAGCAATTTTGCATCAGTCTCTGTCTTGTAAAACATTGGACATAGCACAACTAAAAAAAAAAAAATCATACCAGATAAGCATTTCTGCTAGATAAAGAGAATAGCACTTTTAATCAGTGTGGCTGCTCTTAAAAGTACGCTGAAGTTACCCAGAAAATATAAATATTTTGTCCTAGATATCTGGTAGCATATGATATGGATGTTTTTTCACTTAATTGTAGTGTGTGACAGTGTGTGATTATTAGTTATCATTTCCATATTATTCTTGGTCAGGTCACTGATTAAAAATGCTTTAACTTTTAGTAACCCCCTTACATAAGTTTTTCCTTTCAGTGGATAGTCAGTTATTGGTTTAACCCCTCTGTTACTAATATCTACCAGCTCAATTTTCTGTGTTTCGGTGAACATGTGGTCAGTGATACCTGGGACAGTAATGGTCCATTCTTTGCACTCCAGAGGTGCACTGGGCAGAGAGGGTTTACTCACACCAGCCATGTTCACTGCTCGGACTTGAAACTGATAAAAGAGCCTCTCCTTCAGGTTCTCCGCCTAAAAGAAACAAATGCAAATAGTTAGAGACTAAAAAGTGCCTGCCAGCTTCATTACATGCAGTGATAACATTTTATGTTTTATGAATGTGAGGCTGAAGGAACTTGAAACTTACTTTATAGGAAGTTGTAGTCAGTGCCTGGTGGTTCATTTCATGCCATTTTCCAGCAACGCCTCCCTTTACGGTTCTGTAGTCCACAAAATAGCCCCTGATGTCAGCTCCTCCGTTGTTAGCAGGCGCGTTCCAGCCCAGGACCATGTAGTCCTTGAAGGCCTCCTGCAGGGTCACACCGGTGGGCTTACCAGGTACGGCTGTGATGAGAGTAAACAGGCCGGTCAGTTTTAATTGTGAGAAAAAATGTGAGTAAGCGAGTCAAAACAGTTAACACTGAAATATTAAAACCCAAATTATTACATGGAAAATTAATAATTGCACACAATTTCATACAGACTAGCATTAGCCAAGTATCATACAGGTGTTAGTGGTAATCAGTGTTAAAATATCATGTTAGCTGCGACGGTACAGATGAACATCATACATGCAGCTGCATTACACACACAAGAAACACACATTTGTTATTTAGTATCACAATAATGGAAAAAGAAATACTTACACTAAACGCAAGCAGCTGTGAAACTTTCACACTAAGAAATTCTTCAAAGCCAGAACTCATTAAGATCATGCTCTTTAAGAACACAATAGTTTAGTCTTCATCTTGGCCAGGCACTAACAGGCACCCCTAAAGAGTTATCAAACAGCAGAACTCAAGCAAAATTAAACTTACATGCTTAAACCCTCAAACCCTTCACACGAATTAGAAACATTGTAAAACATGACCTGACTGGTTTAACCAAGCCACAAAAAAATATGTAAATACAAAAGTTAAAGGATGGGAAAGTTTCCAAATATAGTGGTAGCAATGAGACTGTCATGCAGGCACATGCAAGTTATCAACTGCACTTTTATAAACATATAATTCATAACCTTTAATAACTCATCCAAGGGACTTCTTCAGTCTCAGCTGACTGCAGGTTTCCCCCGAGAGTACAAGAGTCTCTTTGTACAGTACTCATGGCCACTGAGTAATGGTCATAGCAGATCATGAAACTGAGCTTATTGTTTTCAGGTAACAGTGCTAGTTTTGGTCATATTGCAAATGGGCAGGGATAGCTCAGTAGGTAGAGTGGTGGCCCCATGATCGGAAGGTCGGGGGTTCGACTCCACTGAACGGCTACCCTGAGGTACCCCTGAGCAAGGTACCTACACACTGCTCCCCGGGCGCTGCACTGGTAGCTGCCCACTGCTTCACTGGGTGAATGGGTTAAATGCAGAGGAACTATTTCCCTATGAGGACTAACACTTAAACTTAAATGTACTGCTTATAATGTAGGGGAAACCTGCAATCAGCTGAGTCATTTGGATAAGTGATGAAATGTTTTTCCCACTGAAAATGTTGCGTTCCAATGGACAGAATCAACTTTCTGGGATTTTCTTATTAAACAGGCATCAAGACATAACTCATTAACACATGAGATTTACAGGCAAATATCTGGTAGATTAATTGTATGAGAATAAAATCTCAGCAAGTAAAGAAAAAAAACATAAAGAGGATTTTGAGTTAGGAGTGGTGAAAGACTATACGTGGATAAGGGGGGACAAAGGGGGAAAAGAACTGAATACTGCGGGCAAAGTGAACAATGAGAAAGAATTATGACACTTACAGATGGCAGCCTGTACAACTACAGCGTCAGAATTGGGGGAGCTCTGGCTGTATCCAGCAGCATTTACTGCCTTCACTTTAAACACGTAGTTTGCACCAGTAATCAGGCCATGACACACAAACCTAAACAGAAAAAAGAGATTCATTAGTATTAATCAATAGGTGGGATCTTTTGTAATATCACAAAAGGTTGATTTTGATACAAAATACTTTAAGCCATTCAAGTTACATTGCTTTTTTTTTTTTTTTTTTTTTTTTAAACAAAACAAAACAAAAACAAACTCGAAGTCAGGACCTTCTTGCTAAATCCAGATTAAAAACCTATTTTTATTTGCTGGCCTTTGACCTCAGTGGGTAACTGACCTTTTTTTTACTATTTCTTTTATTTATATTTTATTGTTATTACTACTATGATGACGATGATGATGATGATAAACAGCTCTCTGAAGGTCCTGCCACATCACTTCACTCAGGTTGAGGTCTGGACTTTAACTGGGCCATTGCAACACCTTGATTCTTTGTTTACCACTGGGATCATCCTGTTGCATGACTCAATTTCAGCCAAGCTTTAACTCAGTGACTGCAAGGTGCTCAGGTCTGTGGGTACAAATCCAACCTAAATCATTAAACCTCCAACATATTAAGAGTTGGGATAATTAGTTTATTCTGGCACCATGTGCTTGGTTTTCTAGAGATGTGGAGCTCTGCATTTATGGTCAAACGTCTCCACTTAGGTTCATCAGTCCAAAGGAGATTGTTTTTGTCCAAAGGAGTCTTGTGGTTTGTTCAGATGCAATACATCTAAGCCATGCTGCCATGTTCTTTTTGGAGAGAAGAGGCTTGCAACCCTTTCAAACAAGCCATACTTGCTCATCCTTTTTCTAGTGATACTGTCATGAACTTTAACGTTTAATATGGAAACTTAGACATGTAGGGTTTGAGATGTAGCTCTGGAGTGATTGTGCTGGATATCCACTCCTGGAAAGATTGTAGCGTTGTCTTAACACACACCTGAATGCTTCAGATCAGTAAACTGGCAAAACATCTGCTTTTATAGAGGTGGTTACACTTTCTCATGTTCAGTTAATCAAGTGCATTTTATTAGCAGCACTTGACTGCTACTTATCCTCTTAATTCCTGTGGAAGTATTATAAACAAGACATAAAAAGATGACATATTTACATGGAAAAATCAGTATCCTCCATGTCTTAGAGCATGCATTAATTGCACCTTTAAACCTGCCCACCTGGTCTGCCTAACAGGCTTATTGTTGCAAGGCATCCAGACATCTGTGCCCACCACACTGCATTCAATATAGTAGCCCACCAAGTCTTGCACATCCTTGGAGGCCCCCCAGGAAACCACCACAGATGTGTCAGTGTTCCTGGTGGCAACCGGGTTGCCTGGAGCTGATGGCAGGTCTGTTAGAGGAAAAGGAAAACACAGAACATCCTATAATGCAGAAAGGCGCTGCAGCAGACTGTAAAATAAACCAGTGACATTGTGATTTTAGAGCTACTATTATTCAGTCCTGAGCAGGTCTTTTTATATGCAGCATTAGTTTTGACACACTTGGTTTGCCAGCTCACCCAGTTTATCTCCAACTATGACTTCTCCTGTGGATTCAGAGGCTTCACCCACGCCGGCAGAGTTGCAGCAGCGTACACGGAAGCTGTAAGATTTACCCTCCGCCAGGTCAAACAGGGCAAAGCGAGGAGATTTGACTGGCATACCAGTGTTCACCCTCTGCCAGGTGTCAGTGCCAGAAATACGCTGCAGTTGACAAAGAACCAGAGAAATGTTAGAGACTGAAACAGATATGAAATTTGACTATATGAAACAGGTGAGGTATGATTATTTATATAATGTCCCCATATGCTTGCTTTCACATATCACTATTCTAATAATAAGTCTGTAGGTCTTTGTCATTGTATTTGTTTAGAGACAAATTATGGGGAATTCAAGTAAAATATAAACATCATTTTGTTTTCAGTTTTCTTTTGCATTATTGTTTGTTTTGCATAATGCACTGTATGACCAAAGGAAATCAATTAGAAACGAGCATTTTTACACTGGTGTATTTACTGTGGAGCTTTCATTTTGCATTGTCTCTGCAAAATATGTTGACCCCTCACATTTACAAGTTAAATTGTTGTAGCTATCAGCAGTAAATAGTTTAAGAGCGTCAAAGGAGAAGAGTTAAGACTTAGCTAAGTGATTAGAAACTTTGTTTTATTTGCCATAATGATTTTAAATATAACAAACGATATAACTGATTCTTCTCATCAGTCCAGTAGTTTGACTCATATATATATATATATATATATTAGGGGTGCAACGATATTCGTATCGATATTGAACCGTTCGATACAGTGCTTTCGGTTCGGTACGCATATGTATCGAACAATACAACATTTGTAATTTCTTTTATCAACTTTCCTTCTGACAATGCTGTCTGTGTTGAGCGCTCAGTGAATCTGCGTTCGACTACTCCGCCTAGGGTCGACAGTGCAGCCTAGGCGGAGTAGTCGAACGCAGATCCACTGAGCGCTCACAGACAGCATCGTCAGAAGGAAGAGCGCAGGGCAAGCTAGCGAGACAGAAGTTAAGCTCTCCTTACAACATGGACCTCCCCCACTCTCATTCAGATCTGGCGTTTGGAATTATTTTGGTTTTCATGTGACGTATGACCCTGAAGGTAAGCGAGTCATGGACTAAAGTAAAACAGTATGTTGGATGTGCCACGCAATGCTCAATTACATAAGATAAGATAAGATAACCTTTATTAGTCCCACACGTGGGAAATTTGTTTTGTCACAGCAGGAAGTGGACAGTGCAAAAGTTATGAGGCAAAAATTAGAATACAATAAGAATAAATACATAGGTGGGAACTAGTGTGTTAGCGCAGTTAGCTCGTTAACGTGTTGGCCGTCTAGCCCCATGCACGGGGCGATCGGCGGTAGCTCGTTAACGGAGATTTGCCGTGTTGTGGCGTTAAGGTCATTTCAACGAGATTAACCTGAAAGCACTAGTGGGAACACAACGAATATGAGTGCACATTTACGCCGACATCGACCTAGTGCAAAGACAAGTGGAAGCAGAAAAAAAACAAGCAAGCATGCTACTAACTTTAGCCGAGTCATTTAGACAGCTGTTTAATATGCTGCTGAGAATATAGCCCAGAAGAAGCGGATAGTATAGCTTTTAGTTTGGAAAGAGACATTTCTCTGTAATAAACTCTCTTTTCCAAAGATGAGTGATTCCTCAATCAGATACAGGGCTTGCAATATCGCTAGCCCGACGTCCCGGAGCTAGCGATTTTTTTCAGTCGGGCTACCAAAATCTATCTCTGCCCTTCCCGTCGGGCTATCGCAGGAAGGAAAAATATATGTCAATGCTTTTGCATTCTTTCGGAAATGTAGCTGGGTTATTATGTCATTGGCATCGGTGAGCCACTGTCAATATGTGACATATTGAAATCGCGTTTGAATTTGCGCTTGTTTTTTTGCTTTCACTTTGCAATCGCGCGAACTGTGTATAGAGAGCGACAGCACTGATCTGTGAGTGATGATAATTTGCGCACCAATTCCTCTGACATCGTCTTATTAATCGTTAGCTTACTATGCAAACATGACAAGTGAAATCTCCCGCAGCTTAAACATGTGAGAGGTTGATCGCGCAGAGAATCGCTGCGCTTATGTGAGTGCATGTGTAAAAGCAGCAGGATTTATATTTGACTACGATGACCTGGATGACTGAGAACCTTCACAGACAGATATATATTTTAGTTCTGCTGAGCCAAATAAGACAGGTCAGGGTGAAGAAGTGACAGCCAAAGAAAATCTTACCACAAAACGGAAAAGTTATGACAAATCAGACTATAAGGCAAAAAGAAAGTGCAGCTTTATGGTTTCATGGACAAAATTATTTCTGTGGCTGCAATATGACGAGCTAAATAACCAGGGCTGCACATAAGTGGTCCGCAGGTGCGCATTCGCTGTCAAAATAAAAAACACGCACAAGGGTTAGGGTTAAATTTAAAAACTGTACTTTTGAGTTAAAATATATATTTATAATTTTAATAAATGACAAATTAAAAAGGCATGAACATTTTTTTGTATCGAAAAAATATCGAACCGTGACACCAAAGTATCGAACCGAGAACCGAACCGAACCGTGAATTTTGTGTATCGTTGCACCCCTAATATATATATATATATATATATATATATATATATATATATATACACACACACACACACATATTTCTATGGGACAGTTTTGAATGTTTTTCTCACCTTCTCAATGTAATACATGACTCCTTCATGACCCCTCTGGGCTGGAGGCTTCCAGGCAAGTACCACATAACTTTTAGTTGCCTCAGTAACCACAACATCAGTTGGTTCTCCTGGGACTACACCGACTGAAGAGGCAAGAAGATACTCATCATTTAGACACGACAACTGCAACTAGGTAAGTGCTGAAGTGACTGTACTGACACCAAAACGCTAATAGCAAAACCACATGATCTATGCAGACTGTTCTCTCAGTACAAACAGTATTTTACTATATAAGCTTTTCATGTATTAAACATAGTCTAAAGTTATAAGACTGACCAGATATCTGATGCTGATATTTGACTGATTGGATGTATGAGGTTGTTTATTCCTACAGTAATGAGTCTGAAATTTACAGGAATGAAGCAACTGTTTAAAAAAAATGGGGAAAAGAACTGAGACAATAATAAACCAATACCACAAATACCATATCCCAACCTAACCTATTACAAAGACTGGGGTGGTAGTTTTCATAATCAGACACATGCAAATTCCTGATTTTGACAACTCTGAATTTTTTGTGAAGTTTGAATTTCTGATTAAAAATAGCACATTCAACCCCCTT